CACACACACACACACACACAATTTATTACCTAACTTATAATAATTTTTTTTAATCTTTTGCTGGAAACATGATGACTAGATCAATAAAGTTTTTGAATCATTTTATTATGACATTTATGTACATGTACGTACCTTTGAGCATTATCATGGGGGTCACGACCTCATGAAGAGCAGGAGCTGGAGCAGGTGTCACAGGGACCGTCAACACGTCAGCCATTTTCTTTTTTTCCTACACAAAAGGCAGATGTTAGCAGCATCTTCTTTAAAGAACTATCTTGGGAATGAAAAAATGCCATTGTTGCAACGGATAAGAAGTATATATTAGTATCATCCTCGGAACAGTGTCAGGTCAGGATTTGTCTTGCAAAAAAAATAATATATATAATTATTATTTTATGACTAACCATTATGTGATATTTATAAAAGTTAAGGGTGATGCAGTTTTTTGTATTTTCCCTAAAAATTATGCAACTTTTTCATTTAAATTAATTAAAACCAGTGCCTTTTATGTTAAAACAATATTGTTGAGGATGTTCGACTGCAAGTAAATGTGGAACAAATAGAAGTAATTAAGAGTAAAATAAACATGCAGCTCCAGATTCATGTTTAAATCTTGCAAAACTTTAAGAAACAATCATATTTCATTGCATTAAAACGGACTTAAAGGGAAAAGACACTTAGTTTTTCCCAGAACTATCCGTGTGCTGCAGAGCATTCAGATGATTCTAATCTGTTTTCATTTGAACTGTTATTATAATACATGTTTTGATATACTTATTTAAGAAGTTTGGAACATGGACATGCTGGAAAGACTTGTTAAGTGAAGACGCAAGCATTGCTTCAAAGATTATTGACTGAGAACTAGTTAAAAAAAAAGGTTAAAGTTTGAGCAGCAGAATGTTTTGCAAAATAAAGTCACATTGCAAAGAGTGAAATATCGATAATCAAACTAAAAAACAAGTTAAAAGTGAGTTAAAACACAACAAAACCCCAAAACTCACCAAATCTGAGGAGAAGAAGAAGCAGGAGAGAGCGTATGCTGAGTGACACACACACACACACACACACACACACAGATGGGTGTGGTGTCAGTCCCCAGAGTCGGGGTCTGTTTCCCCTCCGGCCAATCACGAGGCTGACTCCTCCCCTCTGATGCTGCACCGCCTGCAGATGTCTGTGCAGCTGACAACGCCTCTTACATCATCCACACACACACACACACACACACACACACACACACACACACACACACACACACACACACACACACACACACACACACACACACACACACACACACACACCACACACACACACACACACACACACACACACACACACACACACACACACACACACACACACACACACACACACACACACACACACACACACACACACACACACACACACACACACACACACACACACACACACACACACACTTAACAATCCTTCAGCCAGTTCTGCACATCTTCACTCATTTTGTTTTTTTGCAGGAGTTTTTACACGTCTTAGTGGTTTCCTACATTTCCCAGAATGCACCACAACAACCACAGAGGCGTGTCGTATGTATCGTTTGAATCTGTGGCTGTTTCACGATGGATTTCTCTCCTCGATTGCGTCACAACTCCCAAAGGACTGAAGGCCAGCATGTATTCACTTAACAGAAGAAATAGTTTTTTAACTAGTGACTCTGAAAGTATAAAGTTAGAGGGGCCCTGTTCTGCTCTTTGGGGTCTTCCCTTTCCCTGTAGTGTGTTATATAGGTTTTTGTGCATGCAAATGGTCTGCTAAGATGTTTTGGCATTGTTCTTGACTAAACGGAGGCTGTTACCTTGTGTTCAGTCTGATTTATGTGACGCCAGAGAAGTGCTTTTATTTAACTTTTCCTTCTGTTGAGCCACAAAAACCTGCCGTCTATTCCCGTCTGCGGCGTCTGTGCTTTAACAACAACATACCTGACCATCAGCTGTGATGCAAAAGAGGAATCCACAAGGGGTCTACCTGCAATCACAGACTGTAAAGACCAGTGACGTGCGGTGAAGTTCATGGCTGTTGAGGCACTGACTCTTTCAGAGTCAGATTTACAAATATTATATTTTGACCTTAATCGAAATATTCTGTTATTTTCAAAAGCTTTTTTAGTCTGATGCTTCGATTCATTTTAAACAGACCGTTCAACAAAAGGATACCCAAAATCTAAATATTGGATTGTTCTTTCTTAGTAAGATCCCATTTTCATTACAAATGTGGTCTTACCTTGACTTGAAGATGAAGTCCATGCTATCCTTCTGGACAACAATCTCTATTACTGTTTTGTAAAAGTCCTCCTTATCTTCCTGTAGTTTCAAAAGTCTAGTTTGTTGTTTGCGGTAAAATAACAGTAGCAACAATAACCTGTGGGCTCACGTGCGCCCCCTTCAGTGCGGCAGAGGTTATGGCTGCCTCTCCTGGTGCTTTTTTCATTGCCGTTGTACGATGAGACCAGCGAGCCTAAATATCATATATACGTAAAATAAGTTATTTAGAGCCTATGGATGGCGAGGATAAATGTAATAAAGGGATCTACAAACATTACATTGGTGACATACAGTGAGATGGGAACAGGCATGCGCTTAGGGCCCGCTTTCCAGCCAGTCTCTGTGGGGTGACGCATTCTGAAGTGAGGCAGAGCTCATCTGTGCCTCACCTCACCCCACAGTAAATGGCTTGAGCGCGCTCACAAAATAAGTGGCCGCGCTAAATTAGTGCCCGCGCTCCAGCAAGTTACTGTGGGTTTACGAGAGGCAGAGCTCGTCCCTGCCTCACTTCTCATCGCTCCCGTAGCGGATCTCGGCAAATTTGCTGATTTTGACTATGAAAAGTGATTGGAATCATACAGAAATCACATTTACACAAGATCAGTGGAGACATTTTATTATTATTATTATTTAGTTTTTCTTTAATTGTTTTTCCGTTACATTGGAGTATGACAGGTGAGGCTCTGCCTCCCCTGCCTCCCCTGACTGCACGTCGCTGGTAAAGACTGACCTCCCAGTTTGAAACACAACGCTGAAGTTGGCTTCCGATTCAGAGCTTCCGATTCGGCAGTTAAGGGGAAAGTTAAGGGAAATTTAATTTACAGCGCTGAGCGAACAATCCTCCGTGTTTGAACCTCTTAAATCGCTGCATAGCCGATTTATTTGGACTGGATTATCCCAGAGAGGCTAAACATTCTTTATAACACAGTTTTAGATTTGTGAAACCTTAATTCTATTTGTGAAAATACAAAAAAGAGAGATTTCAGTGCTTTTTCGCATCCTGTGCACATTAGACCAGGTCCTGATCTAAAACCACTATACCTAGACTCATCAAATCTGGACTGGATTATCCCAGAGAGGCTAAACATTCTTTATAACACAGTTTCAGATTTGTGAAACCTTAATTCTATTTGTGAAAATACAAAAAAGGGAGATTTCAGTGCTTTTTTCGCATTGTCTTGTCTTCCCCTGTGCTCCATGTCTGTTCGTCGTCGTTTCTTGTCCATGCTACCTGTCACGCTCCATGTTTGTTCCTGAGGTTTTTTGTCCTGATCCTTCTTCGTACTCCCCCGGTTTTGGTATGTTAAGTTGCTCCTTGTTTTCTTTTGTCATTCAGCTTTGGGAAATAAAGCTCGCTTTTTGTTACCTGACCTTTTAGTCCTTTTACTGCATTTGGGTCCTATTTTTCCCAAACCCTGACACTGAGTCTGCTTCAAATTAACTTATTATCCTCACAGGATCATTTTATTAAAGTTCAAGCAAAACTTACTAAAGCATTCTAACTGTTTATGCTTTAACAGCAATTAATAAAATATCCAGCTTTGCTTTTGGCTAACTGTTTTTGTTGTTCTGCTTTATGATTGTAATGCATGACTGTGCCAACATGTGTCTCCTCCTCCCTGCTCTTGTTTGTAGGCTGCACCTGCTTTTCAGGAGACCAGGCCTCGCAATTATGTTCTTTCTGCCAGTGCATCAGCGGCAAGAGTCCATCACAAACTGCAGGGTCTGTCACCCAGCAGGAGCTAGGCTAACATGCTAACAGGCACAGAGCCTTAGAACACCACATACTCCAAAAAACAGATGATGTAGCTCACATCAGGGCACAGAGCTGCTGCAGCCTCACCTGACCCAGCAGCTCGTTGGCTATTGAATGTTGTGTCGGAAGCATCCTGAGGCCACAGTGGCTTCAGAACATGTAAATATTCTATCTTAAAAAACATCTTGAATTTATTTGTAGAAAGTTAGTTTGTTATTTAACAGGTATGGAGACTTTTTTTAGTTTCATACATTTTCAAAAATACATTGTTAGAATTTCTAAAAAGTACTCTTACTCAAACCACTAAAATAATGTAAATAAAGCAAAAGGCTCCTGAAATCCTTTCACATGTACTCACCAGTGTAACGCTGCCTTGCTGTGGTCCCAGTATATTTAAACTGCATGGGATGACGGCTACTAATGAGCACTGCACATGATATATATATTTGGAATGCTTTATTGATTGAAGTGGGGGCTGCATTTTGAATTCTTAAACAAGTTATGCTTATCAGACTGTGGCATGACCTTTGCAACACAAATATAATAAAGTGAGCATGTTTAGCAAGTTTTGATATTGTTGCATGCTGTTTATACTTTTTTTGACATAGAAAAACTATGATTACTAATGTACATATAGCTTTACACCTGGTATGATCTGGAACTGTGACAGGCTCTGAAAGACTCCAATCCACTTCCGTAGTTGCACTTATGAAGGGAAACAATGGCCTTAATGAGTCTAACTGGTCACAAAAATCAAACATTCTTTGATTTTTAGATCAGGACCTGGTCTAATGTGGCCAGGATGCGAAAAAGCACTGAAATCTCTCTTTTTTGTATTTTCACAAATAGAATTAAGGTTTCACAAATCTGAAACTGTGTTATAAAGAATGTTTAGCCTCTCTGGGATAATCCAGTCCAAATAAATCGGCTATGCAGCGATTTAAGAGGTTCAAACACGGAGGATTGTTCGCTCAGCGCTGTAAATTAAATTTCCCTTAACTTTCCCCTTAACTGCCGAATCGGAAGCTCTGAATCGGAAGCCAACTTCAGCGTCGTGTTTGAAACTGTCTGCTTCTTGGAACACACCGTCCATCATTAATAGCCTGGCTATTCCTATAAATGTATTCCTTTATTGCAACACAGCTGAAAAGCCTGTTGTGTTGTAACGCTCTCAACAGACGGAGTGCAGCTTCTTGTGCTCATTGCATAACTTTATTCCTATAAAAGAAGAACAAAGTGTTTAGTTAAAGCACTTCTCTACTGAACACGGCATCACACACTTCTACAAGTATAAGGTAAGCATCCCTCTCCGGACCTCACCATGATGTTTCATCTGCACACTCAATGCTTTCTTCTATTTTTCTAAGGGTTTTTGTAGAGTTTTTTCAACGTTGTGAACCGTTTGATCCATACACTGTCTCTAAAATTGTCCGTAGGTGTTCAAATGAGCATGAATGGTTGTCTTTGTTTTAATGTGTAACCGGTCCCGAGTGTTCCTCTCGCCAAATATCAGCTGGATGCTTAAAACTACAAAGTACTCGTGCATAGGGATGTCCCGATCACCTTTTTTTGCTCCCGATCCGATTCCGATCATTTGATTTTGACAATCTGCCGATACCGATTTTTCCCGATCCGATCTTTATGCAATGCATTAAGAGAAAAAAAAAGGTAACAGCGATGAATTCAGCTATCTTGGTTGTTATTTTTGTTGGCCTTTTCACTGTTCTGGGGCAGTTTCTCTTTCCTTTTAAAAGTCTCTGAAAGTGTCGGTTGTTTCAGTGCCGTTACCTGAGTGGCCGCTGTGTACTCGTTGTGTTGTTGTTGGTGTTTGTATTAGATTGGTCGTGTTGAACGTAGCTCTGTTCTTTCCACCACGCGGAACCTCCGCCTTGCAAACATTGCATATGGCTGTTACACTGCCTTCGCTTTCAATTTTATAATACTTCCAAACTCCTGACATTTTCTCTGTCTCGACCCCCGAGGCACCAGCTGAACGTAGCCTCTCGTTGGCTTACTGCTACTATTAGACACTGCGCCCACTCTGTTGCCAGATTTGAGAGAAATAAGCAACTGGTCTATGAAAACAAGCCCAAAAGAAGCAACACATACATGATGTGTAATTTTAAACCAAAACTAAGGCCTCAGGATGACTTTAAGACGTGAACATGGTCATTTTTGTTTTGTAACATTAAATAAAATACAAATATTTTATAAAAAAAAAATTAAAAAAGATCCCGATCCCCGATTTTTTTCTCCCGATTCCGATCTTTTGAAAATCACGTGATCGGCTCCGATCCCCGATCACGTGATCGGATCGGGACATCTTTACTCGTCCATGAGCTTTGTGATATATCTCTACGTTCTACTGACAACAATGTTAGTTCTGAAAACTGAACATCTGTGTTTTTATGATGTAAAAAGATCACAATTATCCATAAAGTGTTTTTTCTCAAAATGATTTTGATGCATTACGATTATAGACTGGACAATGAGGGCTGCAGTATTCACCATTCTCTTGCTGGTCATATATCAAGGTATGCTTGTTTCAATTAAATATGAAGTGCTTTAGTAATCTCAATAAGAAGCATTACAGCAGCAAAACAAATCCCACCTAGAAACTAGAATCACCCTCGAGCTCAAGATACTGACAATAATGGTAAATATAGTTTGATTCCTATATTTTGTATAGTATAATATGTACTACTTTTGTACTGATCTCAGCTACAAAACACTCTTTATATCATGTGCAATAATAATATGTGCAATAATAATATGTGCAATTATCTGCCACTACAGTACATTGATTATTTGTCCATCTTTGTTTCTCGTGTTACTGTTATTATTATGTTTATCATATATTTGTTCAACTGTGGCATAAGAATTTCCTTCAGGATAAATAAAGTCCTATCTCTTATCTTATAGAACTATGTATTGGAGAAAAGTGAATCTTAGGCACACTGACGTACAGGTGGTAACAGGATGTGTGTGTTGTTCCAGGCGAGGCCCTGAAGTGTAACTTCTGCTTCTCAATGAAGAGTAAGCTCTGCACCCCCACCGGCACCCAGACCTGCTTAGGGGCGGACGACGGCTGCGTCGCCGTCACCCTGACCGGCGCCCTCAGTAAGTCTGACGTGGTGTAAAGTAACTGAGCACATCTACTAAGTACTGTACTCTATGAGGGACTTGTACTTTTCTTGATCCATTTTGTTTGATCATTCCAGGCTCTTCTTACCGTTCTTGCATGAACATGGCGGCGTGTCAGAGCTGGGTCTCGGTCCCCGGGGTGTTCGGCATATGCTGCAACACCGACCTCTGTAACTGACTCTGTCTGAGAGCTTCCTCTGCTGGCTTCATATCACTGTTACACCGCTGCCATGCACATCAGAGTCTGTTTGAATTTTGAAATGCTATTAAAGAGATGAGTGGTATTTGTAAGAATCACATTGTACTTTTTGTGTGTCACAACTGCTTAGTGACTCTAGAGGGCAGCAGAGCAGAGCATGGAGAGTCCTGCATCTACCAAAGAACAGACTTATTAAATAATAACGTAAACAACTACACACTATGTTCTGCCATACCAGCACCATACACCATACTGTATCTCACAGCACACACAAAAAAATGTGTAAACAATAGAAAACCTCCCAGCATGGTTCAATACATTTCAACAGCACCTGAAACTACATCCTTTAATAAAGGCTAAACCCCTAAATTAGGACCTCTCAACACAAATCGGAGGAACGCCACAACTTTGCAAATGCGATGTGTGGATTTCCTCAGGTTTGGATTCTTAGCGAGCACGCTGCAGTAGATTTTTACATTCATTTGTATCAACCTCAGGCGTTTCCTATCTTTAAACAATAAAATAAGACAAGAGTAGACTCCGATTTCATTGATAACGTGGTACAGGGCTGTAGGGTACAACAATTCTCGGACAAGACAACCAGAAGCTATTTGTTCTTGTGTAACCATGACAGATAATCCAGTGATTTAACAGTAGCTTCCATCAGGAGTGTTGATGGAGAGAATGTGGACTTCCTCCTTCTTACCACGCACTCAGTAAAACCATGGGAGATGACCAACATGGTTCTTTACGAGGTGTACCCCATTAAGTGGGGCTTCCCTTGTCTAACAAGTGCCTGGAGCGCTGTGGAAACACCGTGTAGCTGTCCATGTGCAGCCTGGGGAACCCCACACCGTATACTGGGTCTCCAGCAGAGAGGAAGACACACACACTCACATCATCCACAGAAGCAATGCGCAACACATGAGGGGAAACCCACAGCAGAGTTGGATTCCTTATATACTTATCACATATTTCGCTCAACTATATGTGAAATCAGAACTAAAAAGATGTATACAACGTAGCATCAATAAAAAAACCTTGGTTCGGACTTCTGGGTTGAAAAGCCCCGAAGGTTCAAGGTCTGAACTATTATCATACACATTTAGGTTGTTAGGTTTAGAGTATTTCATCACCTTTTTTGTCTTTCTTTGCCCGACCATGACCAATGCACCCGTGGCTACAAAGGGAAATTGGATCCTTTTATCGGGCTCAATCTATAGAAATCTATCCCTAACCTAGTCAATGGGGTCAAGACCTACAATCTTGATCAGATGAAGCCTGTATCTACGTTTCCTTTCCAGATTGAACTGTGTTTGACATTCTGATAATAAAAAAAGGTCAGTATTAGCCCCAGCAAACTGGCAAATACAACTGCACACAATGAGTCAATTACCCTCAGCCACAGTGCGTTGTTTTTATGGGTGCAGCGGTAAGTCAAGCCATCAGCGGGGCGCTCTCAGGGATTTTCTGCTTCCTGTTGTGGGTGGACCACCAGAGCATCAGCTCCACGCCGATCTGGACACGCTCACTTCATAAACACCTTATTTTAGGAATGCCCCGGGCTAAATAGAAGCATTTGGTTGTGGGTATACTGAGAGGAATTCACTCAGTAGGGTCAAACGCAGGAAATACTATAGTCTAAGAGAGGTGTAATGAACCTGCCTCTCTACTTGCATCAGGTAAAGACTCTCCGTCTCATTAGGCCAGAGAGAGTACTATGAAATCTGACAATGAGCACCACAGTCTGCGTGTTGCATGCACTGTGGTTGGAAACATAGTCACCTCGTTAACACCGCAGGATGCTCCAGCAGCAGAGCCCCGTGTGCCAGGCAACCTACAACCCAGGGAGGATCTCTTCAGAGTTTCCGACACGTCATGTTTTTCTCCTCGCCTTGGGCAAGGAAACCGGCAGTTCATGAGATATATGTTTGTGGTTACTTTAATAGAGTCCAATAAAAAGTGTTGTTTTGCAGCTACCACTGAACGTTAGAGCCGGGGTTCCCTGAAAACACACCGCCTGTGTCCACCTGAGAGTGGTTGCACTGAGGAAACACTCTCACTCTCCTGGAAGTATTCCATGAGGATGCGTAAAATCACAGATTCCCTCGCATTAATGTTTCCACTGCGTTAGAGAACAGCAAGAGGTGTGAGAAGGTTTACCCTAACATCTGGCCTGGAAATATGCTATTAAGCTTCTGAACTATTACAACAAGTATTCTGAATATTGTAGAAGCACTATTACACATACATTCTTATGTCAATCTCAGTATAAAGTAGTCTTTTGACAATGGGTTTAACCTCCAGTATGGGTTCCAATGTACCCCTAAAAGGATCTTGATAAACAGAAATTAAAATGAGAAAAAGCGTATGATATTTACGTATTTTCAAATCTATGGTCATATTTTGAGTACGTTGTCTCAGTTCTTGTACTCAATGACAATAAAGTTGATTCTAATCTAATATAATTTCCTGTCAGTTTTAATATTCCTACAAATCATTTAGGAAACTGAGCTAATATTGTTGTCAGCAGAGGTGGAAGAAGTACCCAGATCTTGTACTTAAGGAAAAGTAGAAGTACAACAGACTAGGAATACTCTGTTATAAGTAAAGTCCTGCATGCAAATGTTACTTAAGTAAAGAAAATAAAACACTGCCGGGTAGCTTGTGTATTCAAGGTGTAACTAATTAAGTGTAGATTTCATATAATTAATCCCAATCTGCAAAGTAACTAAAGGTATCAAATACATGTAGTGGAGTCGAAGAACAAAGTAGCAAAACATTTAAATACTCAAGTACAGTATCTCTCAAATTGTAGTTAGAGTAGTAGATTCAGGCTCACTGAAGCCTCTCAACATCCTGACCTTAGTGCACGCCCGGATGCAGTAGCTCCTCCCCCGGCTGTGTACTTCCAGTATATGTAGACTTCCACGCGACTTCTCCTCACTCCCAGCTTTCCCAGCCTCTCTGCAGCACACCAGGAACAAGATGCTGGCCCCGAGCAGCCTTACCGCCAGTCTGTCCCTGTGGATTATTTTGCTCTGCAGCTCCGCAGTGGTCTGCAGGAAGTCTCGAGGGGGTCCTGATGATGAGGAGCTCTGGTCGGAGAGCGTTTCCAGGGCGACGTGCTCCTCGCGCTGTCTCAGTCTGCACACACCGCTGCAGGTAAGCACGCTGACGTCACACAGATTCAATTAGGTCAAAACAAGCTGCTCAATCATAGAACAATGGCTCTGTAGGCTAATAAAAGCAGACACAATCACTACTATGGTGTTTGAGGTGTAGTAGGTTGAAGTAGCCCAGTGTAAACCATTGGACATTTAATATAAGACATACAAAAGAGTATTCCTTTAACACGTGTACAATTAAATGTTCTGTAAAGTGTAATTTCAAACAAAAACCTTACTGTTATTTCATCTTAACCACACTGTCAGGGATGTAATAATGGTTACTGTATCTAAACAGTTCTTAGCCTTTGCAGGACTCACCATGTGAACATATATTCTACAGTAAACACATGAACCCAGTTACCTTCTATAATATAACTGGGTACATGCAGAACACTTTAAAGCATGTGTGGAAAATGCTTTAAAGTGTGTTTAAGAATAACCACTGACTTAATAATTAATTAGGGTTTTGGTTTCGATTCGAATGCTAAATATCACAAAAATATGAACAATTTAAAATAGTCTTTAGGATCAGTTATTCATACAGATCCCTCGTCTGTCAGCAACTATCTCTCTTCACACACACACACACACACACACACACACACACACACACACACACACACACACACACACACACACACACACACACACACACACACACACACACACACACACACACACACACACACACACACACACACACACACACACACACACACACACACACACACACACACACACACACACACACACACACACACACACACACACACACACACACACACACACACACACACACAGTTTTGCTCCGGGCTTCAGAGTGATGGGGACAGCGTTCCTGTACACTCACTTAGAGCGATGTGCAGTGCACAGAGTGATGCTCCAGTCCAGGGAACGGAGAAATCAGATTAAATCATGAATGCTTACTGTGCTGTTGTGATTCCCCTATCCCCTATAGCTGCTCTAAACCAAGAAGTGATGCATTATTCCTCCTGGATTTGGCTCCAAGTCCTCAAAACTGCACCTCGGACATTCAACATCTGAAGCATCACTCTAATAGTTATCTATCTATCTAGCTGTGGCACCCCCAAAGTTCGCCTCTGCCATCTACCGTGCTGCTGCCGTCTCATTTCACTTGACCAGTGATCCTTGATGTGCATTCATTACAATTCCAGCAAACAGCCTCAGGCTCTCAGCAGGGAGCCATGAAGGACACCAAGTCCCACAAACTGGGGAGGAAAACAGTCATTTGTCATTTTACAGAAAAAAAACTGTTGTTCTACATAAAATGTAGACTCTGCAGTTCTGTTCACAAACTGTAATAGTACTACTAAAAGGACTATACCAAGGCATTGAACATGTATTATTCTACAGTTATTCTAATTAACTTTTGCTTCCCTCTTCTTCTTTTCATTGTGTTTTTCAGAATAATGGTTCCTTGGGCTGGTGTCATAATCATAAACAGTGCGCTAAGGTAAGTAACATAAGATTTCAAAATGTTTTTCGAAGCACAGCACTCCTACAGTTTTCATCCAATCGACTTCAAATGTAGTCAGTACCATCTTGAGACCAAAAGTGATTAAAACGTTATTGTTTATTGATCGGCATTGCTATAGCGAGAAAGCAGATTTCCCAACAAAACTGGAAATGGTGCAACTCCAGCGTACATTCTGCCAATATGCTCCGAATGTGTCTCGGATGATAAGCCTGAAGACATCTACACACCAATATACACTCATATTAAGGTTCTTAGAGGGAAAGCTACTTTACTCCATGTGCCAGAGTTGATTAGCAACACAGCACAGTTCAATTCAGCGCTTTAGAAGAGCTGAAGATGGCACTACTGTAGCATTGAGGCTTGGAGGGACAATGTACATAGCTTAAACCTTAGACAATTAGCATCGAGGGTGGTGTAGCGAGCATCACTTGGCAGCCATAAGAGGAGTTCAGTACTTCCTACAGCCTTGTTATGGTGTTTGACTCAGAGCCAGACCTGTTTTTTCTTCTACTCCTCACAACTCACATTTTTAAACGTATACAAGTACTAGGAATAATATGCTTGCGGTCTGTTCCTTGGGGAAAGCCGATGTCTTGTCTGTGGATGTTTACAGACCTGGAACTCTTTCATAGACAGTGTTAGTTGTTGAAAAAGGAAGCCAAACACAGGGCCTGCTTCCTCTCCGAGGAGTTTGTCTGGGCAGCAAATTCAATGGAGTTGTTCGCTCCATTATCTCTGGTTGGTCATGGAGGAGCACCAAAGATTTCCACTGCAGCGACATACATGCAAGTCATGTTCTGTCCCCTAAACGAACAGCTGGGAACCCCAACCTGAGAGAAAAATGTCTCTGCTGTCTTCGCTACTATTTGGGACTTGGTTGCTTTCTGAAATGTCTTTCAAACACATCACCAAGTTACCCCAGAGACAGCTTTATCTTCAGCATAGTGGAATGGTATGCCTGATTTAAGCTTGAAATGGGGCAGACAATATAACTGAGCGTCAGTCTGGATCAGTGGACAAGTCTTCCTGGAGCCCCGGGGGGGCGATGGCAGGGCTGGCACAGTCTATCAGTCATGCTTCAAGGACTCTCCATTGGATAGCAGGAGGATTTACACTCTGTTGTCCAATTGGCAGCAACTTCCTTTAAAACATTAAAATAATAAAGCTGATCACAATAGTAATAGAAGATATGCTTGGTAACGGTAAGCGTTGAATGTAAATGTGCTGGGTTAGGTACCATTGACAATACCTGACTAAAGTGTTGCCTGGTGCTCCACATTTTATATTACCTCAAACGATCATTAAACTGGAATTAAACAGAAATTAAAGCACATCTGTTCACCCAACTATGAAATATAAAGTGTACTTTGTTGGACACTTTTGGCTTGTGAATTAATACATTGGAAAACCAGACTTTTAGTAACCTAAAGTGGACCTTTACGAGTCCCCAATGTGACTCTGTTTTGGATTAAGAAATATTATTCATATTATTAACGCACTTATATCGTTTTTCCACGAATTACGACCCCTCAAAGGTCTTGGCAACAGCTGCCGACTTGTTTCTCTAAAAGACAACAAAATAACGTATCCAAACTCCTTGGACGTATTTTCTCTTTTGATCGTAATAAACACAGTCTGTTCAGAGTTTACAGCACTTCTCTAACTTTCTGACAACTTGCGCGTCCTTGTGATGCTACTGTACACCCCCCCCCCCCCCCCACCCACTGTGTCTCACTACAGCATGAAATTACTTCAGTGTACACTCGCTCCCCAGGGCGGCCGCTGCTTACTGGTGCAGGATTCAGCTTTATGGTATAGAGGGCGATGCTGGTAATTGGTGACATGCTCCAGAAGCAGCCTGAGAACAACATTTATTAGCTTTAGGTTACTTTTTAGTGCGTAGCTAAATATATGGAAGCACCAGCCATTTCAGATTACATATACGCTGTCCTTTTACTCTTGATAAATATAAAACAAATAGACTCACCTAAAAAAAATGTCCTTTAAAGAATCTCCCTTTTCCTATCTGCCTGTAATGTGAATCACAGCTTACTCTCATTGCTTTTCCTTCACAGTGTCTGGAGCCCTGCAAAGATTCCTGGGAGATGAAGAGGCAAAGCGACTGCAGAGAAATGTGTGAGGTAAACTGCAACGCTCTATGCCTCTATACTAGGAGCTAGGGGTAACATAATAATAAAAACGTTATGTTGAAGTATTGATTCAATTTAAAATCGGAAAATGTGCAGGCAGTCAAATTGAGGTCCAATGCATACACCTCAACTTTACTCATTAGTATCTTGCACAAACACATTTGATGATTGGTCAACATTAACATTGGATTATAGTGGTCTACATTAACATTGGATTATAGTGGTGTACATTAACATTGGATAATATTAGTCTCCATTAACATTGGATAATATTAGTCTCCATTAACATTGGATAATATTAGTCTACATTAACATTGGATAATATTAGTCTACATTAACATTGGATAATATTAGTCTCCATTAACATTGGATAATAGTGGTCTACATTAACATTGGATAATATTAGTCTACATTAACATTGGATAATATTAGTCTACATTAACATTGGATAATATTAGTCTACATTAACATTGGATAATATTAGTCTACATTAACATTGGATAATATTAGTCTACATTAACATTGGATAATATTAGTCTACATTAACATTGGATAATATTAGTCTCCATTAACATTGGATAATAGTGGTCTACATTAACATTGGATAATATTAGTCTACATTAACATTGGATAATATTAGTCTCCATTAACATTGGATAATAGTGGTCTACATTAACATTGGATAATATTAGTCTCCATTAACATTGGATAATAGTGGTCTACATTAACATTGGATAATATTAGTCTCCATTAACATTGGATAATATTAGTCTACATTAACATTGGATAATATTAGTCTACATTAACATTGGATAATATTAGTCTACATTAACATTGGATAATATTAGTCTACATTAACATTGGATAATATTAGTCTACATTAACATTGGATAATATTAGTCTACATTAACATTGGATAATATTAGTCTACATTAACATTGGATAATATTAGTCTACATTAACATTGGATTATAGTGGTCTACATTAACATTGGATAATAGTGGTCTACATTAACATTGGATAATAGTGGTCTACATTAACATTGGATAATATTAGTCTCCATTAACATTGGATAATATTAGTCTACATTAACATTGGATAATATTAGTCTACATTAACATTGGATAATATTAGTCTCCATTAACATTGGATAATAGTGGTCTACATTAACATTGGATAATATTAGTCTCCATTAACATTGGATAATATTAGTCTCCATTAACATTGGATAATAGTGGTCTACATTAACATTGGATAATATTAGTCTCCATTAACATTGGATAATATTAGTCTACATTAACATTGGATAATATTAGTCTACATTAACATTGGATAATATTAGTCTCCATTAACATTGGATAATAGTGGTCTACATTAACATTGGATAATATTAGTCTCCATTAACATTGGATAATATTAGTCTACATTAACATTGGATAATATTAGTCTACATTAACATTGGATAATATTAGTCTACATTAACATTGGATAATATTAGTCTACATTAACATTGGATAATATTAGTCTACATTAACATTGGATAATATTAGTCTACATTAACATTGGATTATAGTGGTCTACATTAACATTGGATAATAGTGGTCTACATTAACATTGGATAATAGTGGTCTACATTAACATTGGATAATATTAGTCTCCATTAACATTGGATTATAGTGGTCTACATTAACAATTAAAATGATTAAGGCCAACAAGATACCCAGCCTATGATGCTAACCTGTCACCCTCCAACCCTTCTAGCGAGTATTTCCCAAGAAGCACTGGGAGTGTGTGACCAGCTGTGAGTTCCTTCAGTCTGTGTTGGCCGTGAAGCAGGGCACGTGCCCCCCTCCAGAGAGAGCCAGCGGCTTCGCAGCGGCCTGCGTGGAGAGTTGTGATAACGACAGAGAATGCTCAACTCAGAAGAAATGCTGCTCCAACGGCTGCGGGCATACCTGCCAGTCCCCAAAAGACCTCTATAAGGGTGAGGAGAGCCATAACAATGAGCCAAACAAAAGCACGTCTATAGCATGGCATTGATCTTTGAGGAGTTATATCATGTTTAATGACAGAATCATGTTTGTCTCCCAGGCGTTCCTCTGAAGCCGAGGAAGGAGCTGGGCTTTGAGGAGCTCCCGTCCGGTCAGCTGGAGGTCCGTTGGTCCTCCCGCTTCAACATCTCTGCTGAGCCGGTGGTCTACATCCTGCAGAGGAGGTGGAACTTTGGCATCCAGCCCAGCGAGGACACTGCCACTGCCTGGCAGGTGGTTGCACAGGTCAGTTCACTGCACCCAATGTATTGTTTCTCTATTATATCGCAACTGCACTCATTGTACTGTAGTTCAGGTGGTCCTCTGTGTTACTCTGTAAACCAACACTGCCTCTGATTGATCACAGACCACAGAGCAGGGCGCGAGGCTCTCTGACACCCGGCCGGGTCGCTGGTATCAGTTCAGAGTGGCAGCCGTGAACAGCCACGGGACCAGAGGTTTCACCACGCCCAGCAGACACATCCACTCCAGCAGAGGTCAGACACATCCTCTGTGTGTGTGCAATAAAGTGTTTATTTGTTCTTGAAAAAAGCCAGTACCCTTAAAAGCACAAGCTGTATTGAAAGACAAATACCCTGTGATTGCTCCTGGATGAATATTAACCACCGCCCCCCTCCCCCTCAGACCCCTCCAGCCCCCCGGCTCCCTCTGAACTCAGAGTCTCCAGTATGATCTTCGGCAGTGGCAGGGCCGTTTCGACCCAGCTCCAGTGGAGCATGCCTGCTGACCTGGATGTTCCCGTCCACAGCTACAAGGTCAGCTGGAGCTGGACCGCTGCGGGACAGCCCCCCTCCTTATTCCTGACCAAGAGGAGGAAGACAGTCAAAGAGGTGAGGACTGTTCTTCATCTTATTCCAACTGTCTTAAGAAACAGAATCCGCTCCTGTCTATTTGTTAACAAGACAAGGAGTTCAATCATTTGAGTTTATATTCTTTTGGCAACACAAATGACATAATAGACTAAATCAGTAATTGGACTTTAGTTTTCTCATACTGTGTGTGTGTGTGTGTGTGTGTGTGCAGGCCCAGGTGGAGCTGGACAGCCTGCGGGCTAACAGGAGCTACAGTGTGGAGGTCCAGGCTGTTTCCTACTGGGGACAAAATCAGCTCAAAGGCCCCCGAGCCGTCCTCCACTTCAGCACGCAGCGCTGTACGTGTTATACTTCTTCCTATACTTCTAAGGTTTTTTGTTTTTTTATAACAGCATGATGAAGTGGTTAGCATTCTTAAGTGATTCTAAGTGTATATTAAACACAATGAACCCTTTGTCATTTGGAGTTCAATCCGTTTAATTCTATAGTTTCTTGTCTGTTTTATAGCCAAAGGTACTACCAGACTCCCTGGAGGTGGCAGTCTGGATGTGGGGATGCCATTCTACCAGGAAGGACTGCTCCGGGTTCATGTGTACTGGCAGAGCAGCACGGGTACGTACACATGTCTGCAGAAAGATTAAAGAAGCAAATAGTTAACATCCTCAAACACACATGTGGTAATACGATACCATCATTGGGTATAATTGTGAAACTCTCCTCCTTTATTGAGTGTGTGCTCTTTGTCCCTGTAGATCCCTCTATTGAATCCTACAGAGTCCAGTGGGAACCAGAGTACTGTGGACAGAACCAGACAGGACCTGGAGAGAAGACCAGCACACAGGTAACCCCGTCCCCTTAAACATGGATGTCAAGTACATGATGTAAATCGTACTTCCAAGAACCAACTTTATGGACATAAGAGATCTTGTTAGTGGTTGATAGGTTGAAAATAAAGAATGTAAGAGAATGTAGAGATCTCATGGTTGCATTTGTTCTCTGTCTGCTGTAGGAGAGCTTTGTCAGCCTGCAGGGTCTTCTCTTCTCCTGTAAATATAAAGTCGTCCTGCAGCCAGTCAGCCAGAAGAGCCAGATTCTGTCAGAGAGCACCAGCTTCTTCACCCCCTCCTGTGCCTCCATCCAGGCCAAGAGCCCCAAACCCATCAGCTGTCCCGGAGATACAGGTGAGGTCATACATGATGAGAAGCTGAAATCGCCATGGATAATCTTAAAAACACATAAATAAGTGTCTTACCAACCCTCTCGTCTTCCTACTCCAGCAGCGTCCCCTCACAGAGTGCTCCTGAAGGCAGCCAACCTCACCGCCTCCTTTGAGATGCGGGCGGGAAACGTGACGGCCGTCTTCAGCTGGGAGGTGTCGGCAGCTGAGCCCCACCAGCAGCTCACTGGGTACCAGGTCACATGGGCGGAGGTCATCCCCCCCACCGGACACAACTACAACCAGCTGCCTCACAGCCTCATTTCTCAGTCTCAGATCCTGCCTCCGGTCAGTGCTGATAGTAACGTACATATATTGAGTTCAGCTAAGGTTGAGGACACCTAACTCATGTCCTCTCTCCTTTCCTTCAGGACGGTAATGTTCTGGTGGTGTCGGGTCTGCATCCGGCCAGTTTGTACCGGCTGGAGGTCCAGACCATCACAGCAGAGGGTGATGGGCTCGCAACCAGCAGAACCTTCCAGACCCCCGGACTGCAAAGCACACGGAGGCACAGTAAGAAAAACAAACACTATCCTTGTGTGGTTAAACTTGAACGTTTTTTTCTCCACTTTCATAAAAAGTACTTGTATAAAGTATATCTTGTTTCCCTCATTCAGGACCCAGGCTGAGGAAGCATAACCAGCAACCGCCAATCATTGAGAGGCACTGACAGCTGACAGCCAATCAGCGGGCAAGAACCGAGTACCTGAAACTCAGGAGAATCCACAGAACACTGATACGCACGACAAATGCAGCTTCAGGAGCGAAATGAATTCTGCATCATAAATCTCTCCCTGCAGTGTTTGTTTATTTGAATTAAAACTAAACTACTGGCAAACTACGAGCACTCGGTGCCAAGTGCTAAGTCATTAGAAGTATGTAAGTTTGATACCCAGCAATAATTCCCTGAAGTATTTGCATGTTAAAAAACTTAAATGTTTAGCGGTTCCTTCAATATATGTAAAAAATGGTGTCCTGCAACTGGTTCATTGAGGAGAATGAATGACCTTGTACTGTAAATGTTGTATATACTGTCTGTATTTATTAATTGTGGTATATTTGTGTGTGGACTGTAAGCATAACACAGCTGTCCTGTATGTGTGCTCAGTCTTCCTGTACAGAGTTGTTTTAAAACTTAAGATAAATCCCATGTCCATACTGTATGTGTTCCTTCACTCTTGGGATGTATTCTTGAACCTGAACAATAGATGGCAGTATTCCTCCATACACCCACTGCTTTCTGTATCCATCAGACATGTGTGCAGGGAAAAAAGCATCCTGAAGAAAGTGGTCTCAGTGTTCAAAGCTTAGTAAAAAAACACAATCAATCCGTTACACCTCACCGGATTTTACCCAACATTTCTTAAAAAATAGGCAAACATTGAATTCTACTAAATTGTGTTCATAATAATGTTTAATATATATGCACTTAAGTGGTGGTAAGGACATTGTGTATCGTTTTGAAAGAGTCTTCAACTTGTGATCTTAGAACATGTTACATGTTTGGCATGAGGTGGATTATAATAGCGTGCCTTGAAAAAATACATTATATTGCATCTAAAGAGCAAAGCCCAATATAAAATCAGAACAAGAATCAGTCATCCATTTGCATCATGAGAATCGATAAATCAAAAGAAATTGCTGATAGTTGCATTTTCTTGGTCAATCAGTAGGATAGGGTTCGTTTCTATGTGGTCATATTATTTAAAAACATTACTTTGACCAAAATGAATAAAATATATTAATTAAAATGAATACATTAATTCATATACAGATATACTATATTACTCAATTTCTTTTTTGGTTGAGTCATTTGGCAGATGAACCAATAAAATGTGTTAGATGTTTTTGTAATGTTATGCTCACTTTTTAGATCCTTAAACGTGAAACAAACGACATACTATATTAATCCAACAAGGGTATATTCAAATCAAGGATAAAGACGTGAGAAGAGGATATGCAACAACTATTTTTCAGTTTCACAGTCTTTATTTGTCATGTGGTGTCTGCTAACACCAAACCCCCCCCAGCTGCATCACAATTTAGTTTGGCTGTGTGGACTTTCCCCGCATTCAGCAGCGCTTTGAGCCTCTCACAGAAGGAATAATGTGCACAAATGAGCCGCAGTCTGTACACGCTGACAGTCCGTCAGGCTGAACGATGCATGGAAATGATGCTGTGAAGGCAGAAATCAGCAGAATGGAGGATTCTACCTTCTCCTCGTGTACGGGATGAGGTGCCGGCGCATTTTGCTTGAATTCATCCCCTTCGAACTTGTCCCGCTCCCTAATTGAAACCCCTCTCCTCGGGTAGGCATTACATTAACTCCTCCAGACAGAGGCTCTTATCAAAATGCAGCAGGCTTACTCGGGTAAATAAAGGTCTGGCAAGGGGAAGGCGTTACAGCTGAGTGCATATAAAAAAGATATTAGATTCATTCTAATTATGCTCCGGGAAACATGGCGGCTCGGCCTTTGGTACAGTAGAGGTCAGAGGTAGAAGTACGGCAGTGATTATGAAATCGATAGCTCTCCACGGCGGGGCCAACGGATTGTAAAAGGCCAATTACCACGACAGCTGCCTCAGCAAACGCAGGGGATTTTTCTACTGCGAGAATCTGAGAGTGGGAATAAGAAGTGGAGGAAACCTGACTGCAGCATTCCCCAGAATGTGCGCTAGGCTAACCCATTTCTCAACCCAGGTCAATATCGTCCTGAGGCTAGAACGCCCTGGAAGCAGCTCCTCTGTTCTCTGGCCAACTTCACTGGAGGATCCCTTTGATGAGCACACATTCTGTGTAATTAATGAGGGGGAACACGGGGGCTTTCACCATTCCTAATTCTCCTGATCTCATTCAAATCCACTCTTCAAATGCCTTGCCCTAGAACTACGCCTGCCTGGTGTAAAGGGGAGCTCCACGTTCTGCTCAGACTCCCGGAGGATCTGGTTCTGATGTGGGCAGAGGGTCTCTGGGTAAGCCAGGGGTTCCCCGCAGGAGCCACCAATCGGCAACAAACCCAAAGAAATGTCAGCATGTTGGAGCCAGGACTTCAATTTGATTCCATTTTACCTCGAAGTGCGCCTCCTGAGGACTTGCACACAGGAGTTTTAATTGGCTGATGTTCCCCTACTACTCAAATCCATTCCATTTCACTAACCAAGACAGAGATCAACAACTAGCTGAACAACATGAAAGACAACGTTTCATCTTGCAAGGATTCTACCTAGTTACATTAAAATAAAATATTAAATCTACTAGGAGAAATTCACGCTCCTCAGATCTACAAATGTATTATTTTATGTTACATCTCTGTCTCCGTTCCCCAGCCCATAATCAATGCATTAACTGCACAGCACCGGGAGACGTGAGTAATTCATCATTCAAATGTATCTGCAGCACTGATGCAAACAGAGCTCTCACTGAACGACCACACACTGTCATTGCTATTCAGGGATTTGTCATGGGCGTTGTGCCGAGTCGTGTTTTCTGTGACAAACACCACTACAGGTAAGGAAGTGCTCCTAAAAATACAATGCTGCAGGTATTCTGGATACGTTCGCCCTCTGCAAATGAGAGAACATTGGATAAACACAAGCCTCACGCTGACGTACTGGCCAGGAAACATATGTATTTTAAAATGAAGAGGCAAGAAAGCTTTAGACATTTCATTCGAGTAAAACCGACTTCACGGTATGAAAAATAGATGATGTGACTCCATCCTCTTTCAAACTGTTGGGCCATTATGGAACGGTTATATAATCCCACTGAAAATCACATTATCAGTGTTGCTTCTGATGCATGTTCTACTACTCGCTTAAATAAGGATTTTTCTCCATGGAAAGATCAGTATTTGTATATCATTAATCCCCCAAGTAGAGCTCACATAGAATAATAAAGAGCGGGAGTGAAGAAGAAAGACTTGTATTCTTCTCTGCCGCCCAGTCAGTTTATTTTTCCATCTAAAAGTTAGGCCGTCCACCATCAAGTCCTAACATTGTTCAGGCTTTCATTGCAGCACGGACCCCGGAGAATTGATTCCATTTCTGTGCTTCTTTTATTTGTCATGAAACAAAGCAAACCTTGTATAATTCGGAGTGTTGGCCGTCAGTGCTGAATCTCTCTCCGGCTCCTCTGGGATCATCCAATCGTATCAAAAGGGACGACAGTGTTTTTAGGCCATGGCCGCCTGCTGTCTGCTGCTCTCATGCTGGGCCTCCTGCACCTGCTGACATACATACTGTATACATGCACAGGTTAAATAGCAGCAGGGCTCCTCACTGCTCATCTTATAAATATTCAATGGACAACAATAATTTTCAGGTTGCCCTATGCTCACTGCGAGGTTGGGTCGGACAAATAACTATCCCTATTTTATTACGCCGATACAATAACTGTTCTATAGAAAAAGTGATTCTGAGTACCAGTTTTTTGGCACTTATTTCCCTTTCCTCAGCTCCATGCAACACTGTAACAGCTCCTTCCTTCACTGTTGAGTGTGTGACAGCTGGAGGCCTCCGTACACTGAAGAGCTATAGTGTTGTCATCTTTTGCTCGCCTCTCTCCTGCCCAACCGTCCGATACAAATCTATGGGAAATATGGACTGGCTAAAGCCATTTTCAAAAAAGAGCTCAGAGGACAAACAGCTGGAGTGGTTTAATGCAGCGTGTTGTCATGGTTTGAGTGCTATTGACAACCTGGCAGGTGCCGGCCAGGGAGAGAAACACTTCCATCGATCGGGGGGTGGCCCCCGGGAGCGAAGACGTGCCCCGTCACAGCTGGGCCGTCCTGACCACTCAGCACAGCGCTGAGACCACCATTTAAATGGGAGGACAAGGGGCATCCCTCACTGTCCATTAACATCCCGAGGGGCCCGCAGCGAGGGTCATTAAAGGCAGCTTTACAGCCAGGGCTTGTAAACGGAGGGTCTCCTGCTGGAGGAGAATTACTCATGAGTCAAATGATTTGGTATTAATCGTGCTGCAAATACGAGGGCGTTTTTTAAGCCATTAGCATGCTGGGGTGAATGTTAGCGTACTTGTCTGACAAACCTCTTTTTCATGCGTGTCCTCCTGCCCATGATGGGGGGTTTTCTCCCTGTAAAGCAAATGCCTTCGGGATCGAAAAACCCACGTTAGGAGAACCTTGCCCACTTCTTACCTGTTACGAGTCGTGTGTGATTCTGATAATATTGTGGTAATAATGATATTATTATAAGGCAGCATAGTGCCGTGGGCTTCGACCTCAAGAACAACATTTAAAAAGTCCTCGTCTCATTTTGTTAACTGGGGGAATATGACTAACCCAGTTTCTCTGTGCTCATTGGACAGCACATCCTGAACATGCTCCTAACTGGGATAAACAGCTTATTTATGTCAACAAACTCTATGAGAGAGCCACAAACTGGGGCAACGATTAGCCAATGTTTTTTTTATTTAGTTTAGTCATGGAGGGCCAACACAAAAGAGTCTTTACTATCATTGAGTATTCGGATATTTTGTACAAATATGTGAGCAGCTAAACCTGTATGGAAGCTCTAAAGGCAAACAAAAATGTTTTTTGATGTTTTTTTCAACTGTTGTTAAGTCATTAACCAATGGAAAATTGACCATTACATTATTTTCGTATGGCAGTTCAAAGGGAATTTTGGCATGTTGTCGTAATACGAATT